GGGGGGGGGGGGCTGTGGTGCCCCTTATTCTGTCCTCCAGGAAGCTTTCAGCAGCTCTCTTTGCCAGGCCATCCTTAGGAGCATGATTAATGATGTAGGACTACTGCACATAGGTACATTTTGTCTCTTCAAAGAGATGGTTCCTGGAGAAGGGAAGCTAAGACCCTCTTCTCTCCCATACCACCAGTGACTCTCAGCACAGTGGGCTCTGGTTTCATGTCACTGGTTCTGAGTCTCATGATTTGAGCATTAAGTCAGAAGAAGAGGGAGACCATGTGAGTGGTTCCCACTTAGAGGGGCTGGAAGGAAAGAGAGGATATTGAAGAGAAGAGACCTGTGTGAGCCTAGGTGAGAGTTAGGCCAAGGCTCAGATGTGGGACACAAGTCAGCCTGCCCAACTAAAAATGTGGGGCCCCTCAAGGGAAGCCTTCAGTGCCAGGCTCAGGGGGTTGTCCTTTGTCCTACAATACACATTAGGTCTCCTGAGAAGCATGCTGAAAATGTAGATTTATGCTCCTCACCCCAGATCCTACTCTGGATTTGAGGAAGTGCCTGGGTAGCTGCATTTTTAGTAAGTTTCCTGGGTCATTGTACTGTGATGCTCAGAGGACCACCTTGGGGAATCCTGCTATAGGCCCATCCATCCATTTCCCAGAAATCCTCTGGGGTTGGCCTGCTGGCCCAGCTGGGCTCCTGCCCTCTAAACATTCTCTCCCTCCTCGCAGTTTTCCATGGACACAGCCTAGCAGAAAGATGCGGCCTTTATGTCTCACTGGCCACTGAACCACCAGCCTGATGTCAGCATCTCCATGTACGTTCCCTGTTCAATTCCGACAGCCCTCAGTCAGTGGCCTCTCACAAATCACCAGTAGCCTGTATATCAGCAATGGGGTGGCCGCCAACAACAAACTTATGCTCTCCAGCAACCAGATCACCACAGTCATCAATGTCTCCGTGGAGGTGGTGAATACCTTATATGAAGATATCCAGTATGTACAAGTGCCTGTGGCTGACATACCCACGTCACGTCTCTGTGACTTCTTTGACCCCATTGCTGACCACATCCACAGTGTCGAGATGAAGCAGGGCCGTACACTGCTCCACTGTGCAGCCGGTGTAAGCCGCTCGGCTGCCCTCTGCCTCGCCTACCTCATGAAGTACCACGCCATGTCCCTGCTGGATGCCCACACATGGACCAAGTCATGTCGGCCCATCATCCGGCCCAACAGCGGCTTTTGGGAGCAGCTTATCCACTATGAGTTCCAGCTGTTTGGTAAGAACACCGTACACATGGTCCACTCCCCTATGGGAATGATCCCTGACATCTACGAGAAGGAGGTTCGTTTAATGATTCCACTGTGAGCCATGTACCAGCCCCTGCCTGCATCGGGGTCAGAGCTGCAGATCTGCTGTTGATCTGAACTTAAACATTCGACTTTTGTGCTACAGAAAAAAACAGATGATGCCTTTTATCAGAGCAATAAAAAGGAAGAGTGCTGTAGCTTTTAATCTTGTAATCCATATCTTTAAAGATTAAATTCACTGGGTGTAAAATAGTGAAGATAAGTTTTCTATCCAGTGAGTGACAGGTCATGGCTATTGGCCAGAGTGGAGAGAGAGTAAGGCAGGTGGTGTCTGGGTCAAATGGACCAGAGCCCAAAGCATATGGCAAGACTGGACTCCTGCAGCCTTCCCCCAGACCAACTAACCCAGGGATGAGTCTGCCACAGTCCCACCTCATTCTTTCAAAGCCAGAGCCTTAAGCATCATGGCACCTCCTTGCTTCTCACAGTACGTGCCAACTTACTGGATAAGTGATCTTCAATGGTGCTCTGGGAACCCTAGGGGCTCCAGGCCGACCCCACTCCCACCTTCAACCATAGGGCCCAACTCTGGTTTTCTGGATTGGATTTACACACAAGATAATTTCAAAGAAAGCATTCCACCATATAAAAATTTTTCAAACCTTTTTTTTTAGTGCTTTTGTACATGATAAAATCTCAAAGTGCCCTTGGCAATCCTCCACCAGCCTTTGATGAAAGGTGGCATTAGTTTTCTCTTGGGCACCGGTGGAGAGAAGGCCTGACATCAGGCTTTAAGGGTTTCTCTCACAGGCCCTGGCTTGGAAGGCTGGAGCTGCAGACCCTAACCCAGCCTTGCCACCTCCTCCCCATGTGATTTTGCACCTCTTGGAGTCTGTTTCCTCATCTGTCCAAGCAATGATAGCCCTTTTATCACAGGGTCATCATGAAGGTTCAATAATTCTCTAGCATGGTACTTGGCACAAGGTAGGTGCTTAGTGTAACTGGCAGTTCTCATGAATGATGCTGTGGTCCTGCTGGTCCAAGTCAGCAGAGTCATCCTCATGATGGCATTTCCCCCATCTGTGCATAGTCCTTTACTAAGTGTTCTTCCAAAAAGTCATCCTGTGTGGTGGGGGAAAAATGGTTTAAATCCTTTCAGACCCTACCTCGGAGGACACCTAGACTTCAGAACCTTTCCGGAGTTCTCACTGTGTTCAATCCATGTATGACCTGGGGGTCCTAAAGCAAGGAGCACACTTCCAGCTTCACCCCAAAGTCCTCGTTTAGGTCACTGACCATTAGGGCCAGTGCCCTGGTCTGGTTCACGCACTGGGGTCCACGGGGGTATGTGCCCAAGGGACAAATGAGTGGGCCCCACCAGTAGCCCTGAAATCCAGAATTGTTCAAATCCCCCAGGGGCCTGAGGATCTGACTCAAGACCAGCTATTCTGATACAGAGGTTTCCAGGCAAACATATGAAACAGAAAAAGGCACAACTGCTCTGTGGGTCCAGAACTCAGTGCCAGCCAAATGTTCTTTCTCTCCAAACCTACCCTCACCTCCACAAAGGAGTGCAATTGGCCAGGGGTGCAATTTTAGGGTTGGGGAGAAGGAAAGCTGCTGTTTTAGACTGATCTCATTTTACAGTTGAACAAACAGACCCACAAGCACCGGGGCTGGTGTTGCAGAGCCCTCACAAAGCAGCCTTTCTAGAAGAAACCCCACTGAAAAATTTCTTCTCAAGCATTTTTAAAGAGAAATTTATTTGAATATATTTTGTCTTCATTTTTAAAAAATTTAAATTAGCGTGCCATAAAATTAACCTTTTTGTATGTCTTGTTTTGTGTGTTTTAAACACATTTGTCTAACTACCTCCACAGTCAGGACACAGCAGTTCCATCACCCAAAAAAACCCCCCGTATGCTGCCCCTTTTCAGTCAAACCTTCACCCCATCCCATCCTCTGGCAAACACTGAGCTCTTCTCTGTCCCTATAGATTTGCCTTTTCCAATACATAGAATCATTGGAGACTGGATATGCCTTCTCCCAGTGTAATGTCTTTGAGAGTCATTCTTTTTACAATGTTAAGTAATCTGTCTGATGGACACCACTATCCCCAATAACCTTGCTAACAAACCTGCTTTTTCCCTTAGGATAACTTCCTTGTTCCTCCTTCCATTTGCCTATAAAGTTCTTTTATTTTGTACAGTTCCTCAGAGCTCCTTCCTATCTGCTGGATTAGATGCTGCTCAATTCATGAATCGTTCAATAAAGCCAATAAGATCTTTAAAAATTTACTCAGTTGAACTGTGTGTGTTTTTTTAACAGGCCCAGAGTTCCAATATCAGTTCCATTTTCAAAACTTACAGTGTAAGTCAGACCTGTCCTAAACTTGTGCCACCCAGGGGCCAGTCTGAAATCTGGGTTGTCCACCTGAAAGTTTAGTTGGAATACTGTTTAAGGTCAGACCCATGCATGTGAGCCTAGCAGGTCATATTGCAACTTTATGAGATCTATTTCTCAAGCTCCNAGGGCCTTCAGCCTCCCTGCTGTCCTGCATACAACCTGTGACAATCTGCTCTGGGGCCAAGCGACAAGATGAAGAGAGAAAAAAGGAAATGGGGATTCCCCCCCACACACACACCCTTCAGGCCACAGTTCTTTTGATTGGAGAAAAGGATTCCCCTCAGGTACTTTTCCAGATGCCACTGCCACCCTGGTGCCAAGTTTCAGCTTCAGTGTGAGGTTTACCTGGGGGCAGGGCCAGATGGAAAAGAAAGAAAAAAGATTTCCCTCCTTCTGTCTGCCCTGAAGGGAGGGCCCTCCTTCCTACTCCTCGAACCCGCAAAGACAGGCCTTCCCTCCCAGTTCTTTCTTTTTGTGTGTAGTGCACAGTTCCTGGATTCACACTGCCTTCGAGACGAGGCCAGCAGATACAGGAACAAAAAACAGGAAGCTTGCCACCGGATTCCTTGTACTTCAAATTCTGATTTTCTGGTCCCAGGCCACCGACCATTTCTTCCTGAGAGTCCTCTGATAGCTGCTTCGCACATTCTGTCCAGGGTTTACATTGTATGC